CAAAGTGCTCACCGGACTTCCTTGAGGAACGAGTACTCCGTGTCAAACTGCTGCAAGGACAGGATGGTGGGCCTCGGAGCCCTGCCCTTCACCTCGGACTCTAAAACCCCGCAGTCGTGACTGGTGAGCAGTCTGGAGAAAGTGGTGATCTGCAGAGTTGGGAGAGGCCAGCGACGTGAGAGGGTTTCCACAGAGGTGGCATCTCCTCCCAGAGGGGCATCCTCTAGGTGCTCGGCCCTGTGCAACCGGGGCACAGGGACTCCAAACCCAAAGGAGCTGTCAAACACAGGCAGCACTGGGGCCAACAGAACCGACGGGGCCCAACAGTACAGAGGAGAAGGCCCTTCCCACCCCGAGACGCCTCAGTCTCCATCCTCGACACACGAGACACTCCTCCCTGCCCCAGGACGCCTCGGTCTCCGGCCTCGACACACGAGACACCCCTCCCTGCCCCAGGACGCCTATGTCTCTGGCCTCAACCCTGGAGATGGCCCTCCCTGCCCTGGGACACCTCAGCCTCCGTCCTTGACCCTGGTGTCTCTTCCTGCTTCAGGCCTCTTGAAACTGCTGACTCACCAGGACTTTGCACCAATGCCCTTCTTCCCTGCAGCCTTGTTCCCCACCTTCAGTGGGGCTAGCTGTCAGGTTCCCTGCCTTCCCACGGCTCTGTCAGCTGTTCTCTTTGACCACGCTGATGCTCCCAAGGGCTCCCGACCCTCTAATCCCAGCCCAGACTCCACCTCTGAGCGCCTATGTCTGATTGCAAGATTAATGTGCTGCTTGGACATTACAGGCATCAAAACCTACCATCTGTGGAATTTACTGCCTGCCCAAAACTTGCTGGCCACTCCTGGATTCCCTGTCTTGACTATCACACACACATACACAAACCACACAGCCATGGAATCGATTCTGACCCACAGCGCCCCTAGAGGACAGAGTGGAACTGCCCACAGGGTCTCCAAGGCTGTCAATCTTCACAGAACCAAAGCCCAAACCACACCCACTGCCATGGAGTCCATTCCGACCCACAGCGCCCCTAGAGGACAGAGTGGAACTGCCCACAGGGTCTCCAGGGCTGTCAATCTTCACA